TGAAACAGGCATGGGGCTAATTGAAAGGACTGTTTTTTAACGCTGTTAATTGCTCTGTGTCTTTGAAAAAAAAAATCAATTCTAGAAAAACACATTTTTGAAAGGACTACAATGTGTATCATGCTGTGGCTGTCGCATAAATGTGCAATTTTTATCACGATTACTTTCATGCGAATGTAAGCGGTTTTTACTAGTGTTGGTAGATCCCTGGGATTTTAAATTCTCGCAGTGGTGACAGGTAAATTCTTTCTGCTTTGTACCGTGACAATTTCAGCTCAGTTTTCAATTGATGGCAACAATTACTAAGCACCCGTCTCCAAGTAAGCCAAGTTCATTAGGGTTACTGTCCGTGTCATTTAAACAACTACGCTAACACCATCAGAACTGACCAATGGCGAACGTCGCCTGCTTATTCAGTTGTCGAAAGACGGTTGTCACTATTTTTGGTTGGATGCTGTTCAAAAAGCCATGAATTGTACAGTCGGAACACCCAAACGCTTCTCATTCGCCTTTCTCTCAGATTTTTTTCTATATTCCAACTCGCAAACACACTGGGCATCATTCGTGCACCGCTTGGACGCAAATGAAGGTGTGTGGTAGCCTGTATTGTTGATTTTAAATAAGTATTCCATCCGTGATTCTTCTTCCACCAACTATTTCTCACACCTTCGTTCCGGTACACTAAAGGGTGTGATAATTCCTGATAAACCACAGCGTCCATTCATTCACACGCGGAAAATGGGTTGCAGGTTCACTTGTGTTTACACTGATTGGCTATTTATTTACCTAAGAGACAGGAAAGTGGGTTGTTTAAAGTGAACCCCCCACTACATCCGAACTTTATGTGAGTTTGGATTCGATAAAAAAAAGGATAATTGTTTTAATGATTTAAAAAAAAATGCATGGCTACAAGCAATAGCTGGTGGCTGAACCATCACAAGTTACACTCGGCAACGATGTATTCTAGAAATGCCGACTATTCCAGGGAATTGGTTCGTCTAGTCCACACGAATCCCCTTAAATCCCACCGACAGAGCACAATTCATTTCCATCTCCATTCGTTGTTTGTAAATAATGCCTTACATTATTTGATTACTTCACACGCCTCGCTGATTCCCGCGAAATCCAAATGTTTTGGCACGTGGCCATCGTGGTGTTTAGCCAGTTCTAATACATGAAAGGAGACCCACCAAATACTCCGTGGAGAACCTATAAGTGTAGGTCCAGATGCCGGATTACAATCGCGCAGGGATTGGGTGGGATTTATCAGCAAGTCAACAGCCCTGCTGACTGTTTTTGTCGCTCATAAAATGGCGAGAATGCTTTACGTGGCTGGGTGTTTTCGCTTTAAACGGAAACGGCTACTTACGTCATCACTGTCCGGCCTCACATTTGATTTATCTGGACCAGCTGAGTCACTGCTGGCTCTTCAACCACAGGCTTTATCGTCCGCCAGTTATTTGGGAAACTTGTAAACTGTGGCGTGTTCGTGGGATAATCTTGGGCCACAGGCATAAAAGGGATACTCTTTGACCGATTTCCAAAAAAACCGATATCAATGTAGGTTTTTGATCGATCAATCTTAACGGTTTTGCTCTCGGAAGGAGTGAAAACAAAGAGACCACCGACGGATGCCACTGATTTATTTGTCAGATTTGGAGCGTCAGTGATGGATTGAAGGGCAGTAACTGTGATGTACAGCACTCGAATTTCCTTTTTTCCCTCCACACACATCTGTCCGCGCTGAAAGGGCCTGTCCGATGTGGGAAAGGAGAGGTACGCGCGCGCACACACACACACAGCATTTCGAACAGCTGGATTTTCGACCAACACAAAAGTAACAATAACCATTCGAACTAATGCATTTTCTTCAAAGTTCCATAATTGTATTGACTAGTTAAGAAAATTAGGGAATAATTTACTTTCCAAATCATTCCGAGCGTTGTGTGGTAGGTTTGTTTACTTCTTTCATAGCGCACATTCTTTGCATTGTCCCGAACGCCCTCTTTTCACAACCTAACGCAGATCTCGCGTTTTGCAGGAGAATAGAATAGAATGGTGCCGTTCACACGAGGGGCATTCACTTTAACAAGAGGCTCACGAAACTGACTGGCAGTGACCTGACAGAGGTCAGCTGCTGTGTGAACTATCGGCTTAAAGTACATTGCCTCTGGGACAATTTTTTAAAAGGACAAGGCCACTGGACTACTACAGCACCATGGCGGAAGGGAGTACACGGAGGATAACCGCCAAGTTAGATGAAAGATCCGGTCTTGTGTGTGAATTATTTCCTAAATGGAGATGTCTCTTTGCAGACCTCTTCGTGGCTGGCTTTACTCGGATAACGCGCCTTAACGCTGTGCCATACGGTGCTACGGCGCGCCGCTAAAACCACGCAAGACAACACCGAAAGGTCATTGTCTTAATGGCTGCGTATTTGAATTGTAAATCACGCAGTTCGTGAATCAGCCCAGGAGCTGGTCGGTGTGTTCGTGTAGAGCTTTCTACACCCGGATTGGTGGCACACCATTGCTCCCCCCCACCACGTCTCTTTGACCGCAGGTTTATCACGGCGAAGGTGTACTTTCTTGATGGCAATCGACACATCTCCTTCCACTAAAAGTGCAAGCAAGCGCAACACATTACCTCACTCCTTTTCAGCTGTTTGTATTTACTTAAAATCAATCAGTTTTTAGTAAAATTAGCTCCTTAAGATTAGAAGGACACATTAGCAGTGCAATGACATTAATATTGTTGTCCCACACCAATTCTAAAAAAGGCTGCTTTCACCAAAAACTAATTTTTTCAAACACCGCTGTCCTGTGAGTGAAAAATTGCCATTTCATCGAACTAAAAGTAATTTTAGCATGACCATACATGGTAGTAATAATAAAGCCCTTACATTTCCGCAGTGTTCAGTTAGTAGGCCTTCTGAAAACTGATTTTAGGTGGAATAATGAGCGAAAGCTTTAAATGCCCGGTTTGAAAAAAATTCCACCCACATGAGATGTCAGCATCGAGGATACGCGAACGGCTTACGCATGGCGGCTTGTGCCACGTTCGTGGACATCGTTGACGAGGGATGAGTCACCGATGAGATGATTCGTGGAGTTTAATCCCACAGCTTCATTTCGAACAGCTTCGCATACTGTCTCCCATCAACGCGTGTCCTTAGGGCTCTTTTCATTTGTCCTTACGTAGTATTATGCAATTTTAGTCAATATTTCTGACTTTACAAAAGCACGATTGCATAGTTATCGATTTCCCATTACTGTTCTGGAAGATTCTAATAAAAGCCTAACTGCTCAGTGGTACACCCCTAATGGGTCACTGAGGGACCAATGAGTGATCGTACTTTTCACTAGTTTTGATTCAAGGTCAAATGATGTGCACAACCCCAAATGTTTGTCCACTAGAACTAGTCTATTGGCGGGCATTGCAAGTTGAAGTTGGTATCGATTTTTAGCCGGTGGTCAAAGCATTTACGAAACTCGTTGCTGCCAGATCGGACGAGTTCTGGCGACACTTGGCTGAATTAAATATTTCGTGTACCGAAACGAATAACTTGCAGACCTACCCACGTCGTTCTGGAATTGCGACGCTGTCCAAGTACCTTGGTGGTAGCATCATGCGTCGCTAGTCACCATAAATCAGGAACGTTGCACCGCACCACACGGCTGTCTTTGATGGTCTGTTTACTAACGCATTGGAGGATGCGTCACGCGTGTCGGTGGATTCACATACTCAAAGTACCCTTCAATAAACAGAAGGGCCCTGAACGCTGATAAGGAATATGGTAACCAGCATGCCCTAATTGGTGATCTGTTCTGCACCGTAAACTTGACGCTCCCAAGCAGCATTTGGCAGTGGCTATGGACATCAAAAGTCATTGTGAGAGTCACGTCTTAGATGAACGCGTCTGTCGCATGCAAAATTACGTACAGAAGCAATGACAGCATCAAAATTTGCTATAAAATCTCCTCAAACTAAATCGATAAGTGCTCAAAAAGCTGACTATATAAGATAACTAACAACTTTGTGGGAAATATCAAGCCGAAATCACGCATACCGCTGGTCTAGGCTGGACAAATGCGACTTTTAAACAACTTGTCAAGGTAGCACCGGAAAAGTACGAAAAAACAGGTAGACTAAAGTCTTACAGCAGACCTTAACCGTGGTCTTGTTATCACGGCTATTGACATGGCACAATAACATTCCCCTTTCACGAAATAAATCGATTCAGGAAGGCGCCAATTGTTTAACACTATGCCTGTTTGCATAATCAACCCCGATTTGTCGAAATTATCCTTCTGGTCTCTCAATTTCTTAACAGAACACGTTCTATCGGTCCTACTTGATGACACATTCACGGTTTGAATCCATACTGAAATCTGTTTACGGCGGCAGCCCTGAAACATTATCCCAACTCCTATAGCCGATAAAATCAGATTATGAGGAACTGGATGCATCCATATTCCTCTCCGTGTTGCCTAAACACATTCCTAATTATAACGCCTTTTTCTAGGGTTGCGAAAAGGCGTCAAAAGAACGATAATGTCGAAAATGACAAAATCTCAACCCTGGAAACAAGATACCTTGATGGTCACTTACGTTAAAAAGATACAGAGGGTTCGTTTGGCCTGGTTTTTCAATGCTCCTGTTGGGCTCTTAGACTGTCCACGTTAATCTCATTATATCTGGGTGGTAATTTATAATATTAAGCACCACAGGATTTGAGCATTGCTTCCCGACCACGAGCTAGCGGAGAAAAAAACCGACATTTAATGGTGATGTGGCTACGCAGGTTTCAGGTTTTATTGCTTAGGTACAAAGAAATGCCGCAGTTTCATTAAAAAAGTAAAATGGATCGGAGTGAGTTAGTCTGATGGTGAGGAGAGGGTGGTGAGGCAGCGACGTGACATTAGCCTACCACAATGTATGTACATGTCCGTACTATTGCACCGAAGTGGATGATTGAGGCGAGGGGGAGGAAGGGGGCGTCAGTTCTTGGCCGCGAGGTCGTGTAAAGGCACAGCGGGGGACCAGATGGGATCAGGGGGGGCGCTCGCCTCCATTCGGACTTGGTGGTGACCTGCATGTCGCCAGGTTTGCTTCCTAATTGCCCTGGAGATTCTCAAGGACATGAACGTGCACGCCGCAATCGAGATTATCAAAATCACCGAAAGAATCGGCAGAAACACCACCATGAATCGGCGTCCGTCTTTGGGGGGAGGCGAAACGGGAGGCAGGGCGGTGGTGGCGATCACCATGGGTTGCCGAGGGGGATAACTGCGGGCCAGTTTTAGGGGGTAGTTGTGCCGGCAGAGGTGGTCATCCGAACAGACCCCTGGTCGACACCTACCCAGGAAGACGGAGTTGTTTGACTGGGAGGAGTTCCACCAACTTTCGAAGGTCACGATCCCTCCCGGGGACGGCGGACCAGGCAGGATCCGGAGAACGCTGATCTCCGGTCGCTGGGTACACTGACTGCACACAAATTGCAGCGGACGGCCCAAGCACCCGGTCAGTCGGATGCTGGTAAATGAAGGCCCGAAGGTGAGGAAGCGATCGAAGGTTGAGGCGCAACTCAACACGAGCGTCTCCAACTGGTTAAGCCCAGCCAGACTGCACGCCTCAAGAGCAATCGGTGCCCGCCAGGCGTGGAGCGTTTTCAAGTCGGGAAGACCGGCAAAGGCCAGAGAGTCGAGCAGTTTGGCTTGAAGGGGGAGATTCAGTTGGAGTTTGACGACCCGGCCACCAACCTGCAGCTGGCTCAGGCCGTAGGGTTCGATCGCCATTCCCAGGAGGCCCGTCTCTTCACGTATACTCACCAGGCTGGCGGATTCGCCGATGCGCACGATATTCCCGACACGGTGGCATTGGATCGGGCGGAAGACGGATTCAGGGAGGTTGGTTCTGTCCGAGGCACAACGCAGCATCAACAGCATGCCCGACCGCCTGTAGCCACAGTAGCACACGGCTTCAACTGGGGCCACAGCAGTCGCGACGGCGGCTGCTAACCAGTACGCAAAGAGAAATAACAGACTTATTAACATCATTCATTGCGTGTCATTGTGTATCCATGCCTGTTCATGCGTAAAAACGGAAATCGGTGTCTTAAATAAGTCACCGCGTGCAAGCAGAACTCGTGTGGTTTGCCAGCAGCATCAGCCAATCGGCCGAGAGCAGACGCGGCTTAGCCAACGGGGTTTGCCGACCAATCAGATGGTGGCGTCGTCAAGGCCAAATGGTCTACATGCGTGCGTTGGTCAAGGGGGCCAGGTCAGTTCCAAGTCCTTACAAGGCAGATTCCCATTCGAAAGTTTTTAGCAAAAACCAGCTAATTGCGAAAATTACTCTTGTCGAGATCGAAAAATATCAACGCCTGTCCATTCATGACGGCGTACCTGAAATATCGATTTTTTCTAATAAAAAAGGGGGTGGGGTGTATTTTTGCAGTGTCGGTGGATTCATTAAAACAAAATGTGGAAGCAATTGGGATAAATCCAACGGTAGATTTTCTGTTCAGAAGGGAAGACAATTATAACATCGATGCGACGTTTTCGAGAAACATTTTGTGTGAATTTGTGTTTTAAACATGAAGGTTGAAGAAAGAGCCTGTCAAAACGCATGCGTTGGTTTGTTCTCAAATCTAGCTAGAGTACCATTGATAGATGGAATAATTATGTGCAGTAGTGCACTTACATATATGTGTGTGTGTTGGGTTAGTTGCGGTAATTAAGTCTTCCTCTATCCTAGTGTCGTCAATCGCGTTTATTCACACTAGCTAATCCGATCACCCCAGCCTCCGACACAGGGTTCCCCTTTTCGCAGCATGTTGCCACCCGCGCGGATCCTCAACTCCCCACTCATTAATACGATCGATTATCCTCACACCTAGGCCTCAATGTTAGCGAATCTATGACTCACGCATCCGAGGTATAGATACACACTCTCATACCCCACACTCGACACAACGACACAAACGTGGTTGAGCTCGGAAATAAACGATTGTGTTCACGTCCTCTCAGGTCTATTTCATCGTCGTGGTAATCAGGGAAGCGTAATCGGGCCAGAGTGAATTCAAATTTACAAATCGGATGATTGGTGCATTAAAATGAATAAAGTGTATATCACGCCTTGAAGTATAGTTTATGCAATTTCTTTCGTAAAAACCTTCTACTACCAACAATTTAAGTAACGTGTATTTATCAAGACTCCACACATCAGTCAAGCAGAAATATACTGCCAGATAGAGTCAGGATGATAATAAAGGCAATGTTTTATTGTTTAGCGAATATATCATCTCCTGTCAAATCTCCCGTCGCCTGTCTCGTCCATGAATTAATGAATTATCAATGTCAAAATGCTTGTCTGAAAACTTGGGGCTTGGTTTGCTTTTCTGGCACCAAGTTGCCCAAAAATGACATGGTCCAATGAATACTAAGACATGCCCTGCTAATTTTTCATGGCACTTTATACATTGGCTGCAGTTAAGTATTTTGCAAACTGTCTTACGATTGACCAAATTATACATTGGCTCCGTTTAATGTAACACCTGAAATGATACATAATTTATTGGCGCATATGACGATAAGGCCACAACCAAAACCAGTTTAAAAATCTGAGGGTTTGTTTGTAAAGTCTAAATTATTGGTGTTTGAGCCAATAAGGATAAATTGTCTCAATATCACTTCTGTTTCTTCCTAAATATTACCTATGAAAAGTGCAAACACGATTGCCGATGGTTACTTTCTCGGTTCTCCTCTCATTTACGGTTTAACTGACGGTAAAGACATCAACTTGCAAAATCCACGTATTCCAAAAATACTTTGCTACTTAAATGTGACAAAGTAGCGTCTCATAAAACTCGCGGATATTCGAAGGATGCAAATTTTTTATTAGTCGCTGCACACGTCATCTGTTTATGTGCTTCGTCCTACCCTCCTTGACAATGCTTTACTTTAGTTTAGAGGGATTTTTCTCAAGCGATTGTACTCTTTTAAATCTGAAGTAAGTTTTTAAACCACTCAGTCGTGGCTGCAAAATGAACACAGATTTGCTTTGATTTTAAACGCAATTAGAATGCATTTTAATGACTGAAGTTAGGGATATTTAAACAACAAACAGAGCAACTCTTGGGGGTAATTCAAATATCATTGAAGCTGTAAATAAGAACCCGAAAATATGCTGTTCGATCGCATCCATGCACTACTGCCACAACCAATCACAAGTCATTACGGATGCATGGGTCGATTTATCGTTCGAATTTGTCATTAAAGGCTCCAAATTCCACCATTACAAACTTCAACGTTAAAATAATCCATTCTTAGTCACTTGTTTCCACTAAGCCTTATTGTTAATTAATCGCCACATGTAGTGACTAAGGCTGCGCCAACAACCAATGAAAGTAGAGATGAGTCATTGATAGCAATCGACCAGTAAATAAGCTGCACTCATGCGCGATCAAGGATCGATATTCACTTCCGCGTACGATTTTGCTTAGCACGGCATCCAAGCTGCACACAAAACAGAAAGGGTTGCTGCGTTGACAACCATTCACGCAGTCAGGTTCAAAAGATTTCCGCCACAATCGTCTTCGACAGAGACATCACAGTTGCACAAAACCTATAGCCTACATTTCCGAAAAGGTTCACCAAATCCTCTCGTTAAGGGAAAGAGGTGTTGTGACTCGTGTTTATTCACTCTCCTTAATCCGATCTCTCCATCCTCCGACACAGGGTTCCCCTTTTCGCAGCGTGTCGCCGGCAGCGCGGATCCTCAACTCCCCTCTCATTAGCACGATCAATCATCTTGGACTGTCCTCACACTCAGGTCTCGATGTTAGCGCATGTATGACTCACACATCTGAGCTAGCACGCACGACACAGCGAAACCAGTTTTGGTTGAGCTTTGAAGTAAATAATTATGTTCACGTCCTCTCCTGTCTTTTTCTTCATCGCGTAAGCGGGCCAGGGTTAATTCCGTGGCCCCGGCGTGGTTCAAGAACACATGCTGGGGCCCGCCACAGTCCCTTTGAATTCGCGATTCAAGCATTCCGTGAGACTTGATTATTGTGCGGAAATTCCGACTGAATCGGGGTGAGAGGTGTAGGATGGTTTCAGCATAGACTTGCCTTGAACTGGGCAAAGAGTTGCTTATAAATAGGAGTGTTGGTTATATCAAAGTAATGCATTGTGCAAAGTAATTCATCGTGCTAACCCTGAGTGCTCTTCGCGTCACCACGTTCGTTTAGGCAGCAAGCGATGTCAAGCCTTCCTGTAAAAACAGACGCCTTGGCGCGCTATCTAGGCACTTAGCAACCACGTCCTCGTCGTGACAACCAAACAAGGGCTTCTGCAATGGTGCCCACGGCGTGTCCGCGTCGATTATTTGACCCCAATTTGACTTAGTTATCTACAAACGCCCAACTTTTCATGGGAGTTATCGCATCTGGAGCGAGGTCAGTGAAGGACGCCAGCACAGAGAATGGATGAGACGACGATCAAGTCGTGTGTGGGCTGAAAAATGCTAATCACATTAGTAGAAATTTGAAAATAGAACCGCAAGAACACGATCACACCAAGATTTCAATTGGAAGACATTTGACATTAACGCCGGCTGCGACGCAACAGGTCAAGATGTGAAATCAGCATGTGAACTGCCACCACAAGGAGTACATTACACAGCGTATTCCTTCTACCCGCATGAATCCAGTCACACTACTTAAATTCACTTCGGCGACACGTCACCCACCCTTCTTCCTAGTTGCAACCCCGCCTACATCTCAGCATTCACACTGAGGTCGCGGCGACAACTCTGTGGCTATGTTGGGTGCTTGTCCAGTGGAAATCGTGCTTCATTTTGTATGCATGTACACCCCCAGATGACGCACTAGCTGGAATCCTAGTTTGCATTCGGCTCACTCACACACAAACCTCGGAAACACGCTACGGTACATGTGGTGCACGCCTGTGTTCTGAACCACATCAAAAAAAAATATGAACAGGCAGAGCTTTGAGTTTACTTGTAGACCCAAACACAAAAGGAGAAAAAGAGTCACTATGCACAAGGCTGTTACTGGGATATGGGGGATGGAGTCACCACGAAGGAGAACAGTGGAATGGTTCCAGATGTGGGTTAAATACAGCGGGGCGTGAAGGTGACGACAAATAGCACTCTTGTGTTTAGTGGAATAAAGTGAATCAAGGGTGTTGAAGTGTTGATACACTCAATGTCAACTGGATTAGTTCTCACAGGACACACTCAGTAGGAACTCAAAGTTTTAGCATTATTTGAGAGAATCGATTTGGAATGCTTTCGGAGCGGGTTGCCGTCGTCGTAGTCGCTAGCTGATCTTTTCTTGCGGCTTGGTGTCTACGGGTAGATTTCGACGTGCTCGCTCTGATGCATCTATGCCGGCGAGATTAACAGAAGCCGCGTACAGGTGGACCAGACTGATGAACGTCTTCACCAAGGCAATCGGGAAGGTGGCGAAGATGACTAAGCGGTACACTCCTAGACCCAAAACTGCAAAGCAACAGCGGTAGGTGAAGTGATGTTGGAGGAATAGGCACTGGGGTTAACAGCAACGAGCACAAAGTGTGGGCTACACAAACGCTTGTGTGCTTCCCATCAGTTAAAACGAGGATCTATTGGAATAAACTAAGCCAAAAGACGATAACACTTCATGCAATTATACCGCCATACACACAGTTCTTAAGCCAGGAAGAACAAAAAACATGCTAGACATTTAATCCGTGCCACCATATCGCTGTTAAATAGGCGTCTGACGAACCCACATAGAGGCTAGAGCCCAGGTCTAGGCCAATACGTTTAGAGAAGTGAGAATTTGAAGTCAGTTATTTACAGTTGGGTTCGTTTATATCAAATTATATATATGGCGGTCCATTAATTTGCAGACTAGAGGCATAGTATAACCCAACATCACAAATGCATTTAATAATTTCAAGAAAAGTAGCAGACGGTGATCTGTTAAATAAGTAGAAGCCTTTGAGGAAACAAACTCAATTTTCATTATCAAAAGTGTCAACACAGACTTAACCGAAGTATTTCAACAGGCATGGATTTTCTTGTTGAGGTGTAAGATGAAAGTAGTATACCAGGCCCAAATTTGCCGAGACAAAAAACGCAAGACATGAGGTACTTAAAGTGACTTAGGCACCTGTGTTTGCATAAAAGATAACGGAAATTCAACCGATTGAAAACGTACAGATTGGCCCCTCAGTGAAGTGGACGAGGTAGAGCATTGCGTAGAAGAGTTCATTTCCCGCACACATTATGAAAAGAACTACCTAGAATGAGGACATGAAAACGACACTTCTTTCTACTAGTTTATAAAAATCTTGCATGAAATAACAGCGAAGGTTAAATAGGCAATTTACCGCTTGGTGTCGTTTAAACCTAGACCACTGCCAACATCACATACCAGACTACAAAAAGTAGAAGTACAGATAAAAGCAAGGCATTTGCATGATCAATCTTTCGATTTTGCCGAGGGAAGAAACAGAAATTTGCGCGACAAATCTACACTGCTAATAAATACCCACTGATTGTGGACAATGCAATAATGTGTAGGGATAATACTGGTAATATTTACCCGATTTGTGTAGTATATACGTAAAAGAGGGTTTCCATCCAAACGTATCGCCTTGTGGCTCGATAGTCCATCCTGAATTGACCTTAAAAGGACGTAAAAAAAGAAATCGGAGAAAACTTACGTGTGAACGTGAAGCCAGTGGCTTGCTATATCGATGCAGGCACTTAGTTGGAAAAGGAAGATGTACCGAGGGTAAAATGTGCATAAGGTAAACAGCAGGCACATAGTTGTGCATCGGTCACTCAACATGTCCAGCATGGCGCCAAATCGTGTACCTGCGAGGAACAAGAAAGTCAGGTGATGGAGTGTACTGTCATCGCATGTTAATTCTGCGCTAATTGTAACTTACCACAAAACCTAGAGATTAGTGGATGGAATTAGAAAGATATACACCGGGAATGAAACATTGCGAACGGCGTTTCGAAAGGCGAAAATGCTAAGTTACTTGAAAACCTCAAATATACAGAAACTAATGATTCATCAAACATACTCTGATCGAGAAGTCGAGCAGCATGTCCGTCAAATGCGTCGAGGAGAGCAGAGAGGAGGTACGCGAAGATAGCGTCGACTGCACTTGTGGGCATATACCAGCAGGCGTAGAGTAGGAGAATAATTCTGGCATAACCTGATAAAGGATAAACAAACAAATATAACAGGCAATTCTCAAAATGAAATGCGCAAGCGTGTATGGAGCCTCTTAGTCAGGTAACAGGGCACACAATGACCACAATCATGGAACATTTGTGCACCGGTGTTAAGCATGGTATGGTCAACCAGGCAACAATCATGTTAATTTCGTTTGAGTGCTATAACTAACGTCAAAATTTTAGTGCAAGCAATTGAAAATCACAAAAGCCTGTTTTACAAAAAAAGTAAATTGAACCGAATACTAGTCCCAGTTTACTCTAGGTGCACAATGCAAAAAAGCACGATAACTAATAGACCACAACCTTCTGATTAACCTAAGAGTACAAATAAGTTTATAAAGAGCAGGAAAGAATTTATTTGGTGAAAGGACGTGCCGTGCAGACAAAAAATAAAGGAAGAAATGGAAAATGCTTAAAAAGGGAAATAACAAAATAGTCCTAAAAAGGCTAAATTTAAACACTAGATATCAAAGTTACCAATGATATTAGGAACGAAGAGAAATATATTCTCCGCCATCTGACAAGGTGCTTAAATTATACACACGTCCTTGAAACAAGCGAACAAGTCATAGGTCGATAAAACAAGGATTTAAAAAAAACAATGCTTGTCCATTAATCTAATCTTTAACACCAAAATTTTACATGTGTGTTTTAAAGTTCTAGTTCACAAGCAAGGGCATGCTGCTAGAAAATCTGAATTACTATTTTAAAAAGATATTCAAATGCTCGAAATTATATATTAAACAACACGATTGTAGCCCAAGTCAAAAATTTAAAAAAATTAATTCTATAGCTAGTGGATTAGTTGGAGGTTCACGACAATATCTCATCAAGACACTTTTAATTTTGTGAAAATTAGTTCATTTTATAGCTATAAAAATTGGAAGCCACAATGAAAAAAAAAGCTTTCACGCTTATTGACATTTCTGGCATATATCTCGGTGATAGTAAAAAAAACCAATATTTTGGGTCCCTCGAAAAATGTAATCAATTTGAGTAACTTGATGAAAAATCTAATTTGCTTGTTATGGAATGCATTTAAAGCTTCCGTAATAAAATTTTAAAATAATGAGATTTGTTAGCGGGGTAAACACTGTGTAGAATGTCTGAGTCCTATTATCATGAATGCATGTACAAAATATCTGGCTTTCAACCAGAAGCCCTCAAAAATGCAATACTGTTTGTCCACCGCTAACTCAAATTGACCAAAGTTGTCCTTTTTTCATTTATGACCACAGTCAGAAGATGGATATGGACATACTTGTTCAAATATGTCTGCAACCTGAACCGAGATAACAGAAGGCATCTAATATAGTCTACCCTACCCTCCGTATTAAGAAAACGTGAACAACACGATAATTTTATTGATTAATCCCAAATCTGAACCTTTCGTCAGATGTATTTGATACGGTTGCGCCGTTGTATTTATTCTGCTCCTAAAACGTATCTGTCTGTGGTTGGCTGAAAATCTTCCCAGCAGGCCATTCGAACTCAGACAGACATAGGTTTGGCTAAGGCCAGCGTTTTCCAATGGGTCTCTGCCCAGACACTCCTCAGATTATGTGTAGATTACCCAAGACCATTCAACAGACAGGCTTTATTGATCAATCACACGCTAGAACCACACATCAGGTGCCGTCCATCTGAGTCCACCACGATGGCTTCGCTGTTCATTTTATACAAATTCACATGCGCGTCTGTCTCTGGTTGGCTTGCTTCCTCTCATGCAATTCTAAAGCAAAGGCACAGACGATTGGCTGAGGCTAGTGTGGTACTGTAGAATACCCCATCCCTAATAGGAATAAGACCAGTGCAAAAGAACAGGCTTTAATGACGAATCAAAAGCCAGAGCCACACGTCAGGCACCTTCCGTCTGAGTCCACCACGCTGGCCACGGCGCTCAATATGTACTCCACCTCAGCCGTATCCTTCTTTGGTTGGCTGCTTATCTTTCTCGTTTGACATTGAAACGAAGAGAGACACAGGATTGGCTGAGGCCAGCGTGGTCCAATATGTCTGCGCCCTAATCCGACGCCACTGTAGAATACCTGAGCCCTAATAGGTAAAAGACCGGTACAACAGAACAGGCTTTATTGACCAATCAGGAGCCAGAGCCACGCGTCAGGCGCCTTCCATCCGAGTCCGCCACGCTGGCCACGCCGCTCATTATATACTACATCTCATCCATGTCCTTCTCTGGTTGGCTGCCTTCCTTTCCCGCATGCCATTGGATCGCAGAGAGACACGGGATTGGCT